AACATATGCACTGGTTACTGCAGAAATTTCAAAGGTATCTTTTTGAATTAGGGGGTCGCTGTCTATTTTTTTAAATATCGAAATCTTATCACGTTGTATCTTTCTATTTCCTTGCGTTTTTCGGAATTCTTGTGAGGGCAAGCATACTTGAAATTTATAACCTGACTTTTCGGTCGAAAATTGATAATTTCTTTTTGTTAAATATAGTGGACGATTATGATAATTTTTTGGTAATTGCAGTAAAATGTTACAGTATTGTTAGCTGCATTTGTTGGATGGTGCGTTTTTACTCATGAACACTTTGATTGTTAGCCTCCATCTCGTCCCGGGTTGTTGTACACTATATTTTTTTTTTGTCTGCTTACATCGGCTTTATTTGACGTGTCTCTATATTAACATTTTTTGACTGCATTTGGCGTGCCAGTGTTTAGTCATCAGTATAGTGCATTAATCTGAGTAAACTAATGACTGAAATTTCTGTTGAGAATGATGGCAAGAGTTGGTTTTTTTGGTATTCACTCACATTCCACAAACGAGCCATTAAGGTTTTTCTCTCTTAGGTGTATCAGCCGCTACTTGTTGACATCACCGATGGTAGTCGTAGAGGAGCGTTATTTCAGATGGATACAGGTTAAAAGCGATTTGCATCTTCCGACTACACGAGATTTCGGTTGTCTTTGTTTGGCATAAAGATATGGATGAGATACCAACTCTGTGGCAGAATCGAGAGGAAAGCTTGACGGTGCGTAACTCGGTAGGGTGTCGGAGAGTCAGTATCTGAGTCGCAGGAAACGGTAGTTGCACTACTCTTTGTGGCATTCGACAGGATGGCACCTGCCTATTTCAGCAAGTAACAGAGTGGATGTAACTTTTTTGTCTTGTTTTCTTTATAGACGGGGCACTAAGTTTCGAATAAGAAGCATATCTGGGTAAGAAACTGTTTTTAGTGGGTGTTGCCAATAAAATTTCTGGAAAAATTCTTCAAAACTGCAATTAGAAATTCTCCGCTTAGCTTTCAGGCGAAGAAAAATGTGATATTAAGATATTAGGTAGCACAAGATGTGATAATGACTACGGTATGAGGAAGCTTGGGATAAAATAAAATTGCTATATAAAGGGCAGTGAGGATAGGGGAAACTTGTAAAATTGGCCATCGCACTTTGTTAAAGATCCAGTTTCCCCTTGCTTGTTGGTCAAGAAGTCGTATATTAACGATTTCAAAAAAGAGCTTGATGTTGAACAAAGAATTGTCTGGGGAGCTTCTAATATTTTGTCGAGAAAGGTCTTTTTGGGAATTGCAGAAAGCAAGAGGTCTAAGTGTAAGCATCAACGAATCGTTTATAGTTTAAATGTGTGTGATTGTGTTTGTAAACTACGCTTAGCCAAGTACTTGATAGGCGGAACTGGATCTCAGTAAAAAATAACAGAAGATGATGAGGACTTTTTTGTCGGTCTAGAGTGGAATGACACTGAAATTTCGCAGTGAAAATTGTTTCTTCTGAAAAGTACGAGGGGGGAAAAAGAAATTTTACGGGAAGAATTCTCAAAGTAGGTGATAATTCCAATTTTAATCTTTGTCCAGTACACTGGATCTGGGATTACCATGTGACTGGATGTTGGAGGTGTTATAATACAGTCAAGGTGTAAGGAGGAGCAATGAATTTTTTAACTACAGAAAGTGCCGGTACAAGAGATTGGTTGATTGAATATAAAGAAGAAAATAAAACTTATTCTCTCGTACTATTTGACGCGTCTGCGCCAATTAGATAGCTTATAGAATTGAAAAATAAATAAATGAAATATATTTAGAATTTACAGGCAATAAGACAATTTTTGTAGTGTATGGAAATTCCAATCATATTTTATAAATCATTAACAGATCTATGATCTTTTGAGGTTACAAATCTTCTTTATTATATACCCGTGTTAATGTTTATCATAAACCCATAATCAAACAAAACTTCTTGTTCTAAAACCGAATTTACTGGGGAGAACTGTAAATAAAGCTTTGCAAAAGCTATTTTCAAAACGCCTTCCCTTACACTAGAAGCATTCGTACAAATTTAATCAGACATACGCATAAATAAATAATATTTAGAATCCGATTGTTACCAGCTGTACTGCAAAATCTTCAAGATTTTTTTTTCACAATACTCAGTTCTCTTCAGAGTGATTGTTGATCTGATGACTTCTGACTAGACAAATCCCCCAAAAGGGTGTTTGACAGAACCACGATTAGTTGTGTGTCGTGGAGTGGTAAAACGTGTTAAAAGAATTTGCAGCAACAGATGTTTGTAGCTGTACATAGTAGAGCAATTTCGGACTAAATTATTCTACAAAAAATTTGACCGTTTTGTTGCGATTTTTAAGTGATTACTCTGTGTAACCAAAAAACCCAGTCTTTCCACCTTGTCAGCCTTCGTCTTAGTTGTATTGATCACTGCTCATTTCTTGCTTCTTGTGCTGATTTATTGGTACGCTAGAATAGAGCCATTTCTGATTCACGGCTTCTAGAATTACTATTAACTTACTGAAACTTGTAGAAGGTTGACATTACAGCAGTTATTAAGAAACCGAGAGATAAGAGCTACTTATTCTAGTCGTTTAGAGGCACATGAAACAAGAGACTAATTCTAACTTGACAACGATAACCTCATCCAAACTCTTCTAAACTATTTCAAAACCGTATATAATAAAAATTAAAATCACTAGACTTATAATAATTTCCATCATGTCTAAAAAACTGTTTCTTAACTTACTTTTTAAGGCATCATAAGAGTAGCCTAATTAGTTTGTGAAGACTATAAATGTATTATATGATGCGCAATTTAATACCTCATCCACCACCTTCTCTAGCTGTCTGATAAAAGTTGTCATTCGTTGGCAATCTTGTCAACTGGACAGCAAATTATCAACTAACCTCACTAGGAGGGCTCGTTCTAAAGTGCCGTCTTGTTTTAATTTTGGCTAGTCACTTTGTAGAAGCCTTAATGGCCTTGCCTTATACAGTTAACAGCAGCCACAACACTTGGATACTACAAGTAAATAACTCCAATCAGATGTAATCCTTTCCGGTCATCCGCTAATTTAACGTCATTTTCGATAGCTGCTATTAGCAAACACTTTTCCTCCACACTTAGTTTTTCAACAAAAAGAAAAGTTTTGTTTTTTACAGCTTATCTACGGTGTTGTACTATCCGTTAGCTGTCTTAAGCATAATCTTTGCAGTGCTATTATCAACATAATTTCTATGCGTAGGGAGTTCGAAAAAACTATTTTTCTTGAATTTTTTACTTCTGAATTCAGCTTCGTACAAAAAAAAAGCAAACGAAAAAACTACAGGTAATATCTTTTATTTTTATTCAATATTTGTTCAACGTTTGAACCAAATGAGCAATGATGACGATAATTTACAAATGTTTACAATCAAATACAACAGGCTTCCACTGTGTACAATATAAGCTTTAACCACAAACTTAGAAATAAAAAAAAATTTCCAAAAAAGAAAAGAAAACACAATAAACATCAATACAAAGCAAAAAAGAAAAAACTTTCTCACTTTGCAAAACATCAGTGGCAGGAAGAAAGACAATAGACTGATTCTAGGTTTTCTCAAAAAGAACTTATTTTAACGCTGATACAAGCGCAAAAAGATGGTAAGGTTACGCAGCCAAATTAGTAGCTAGTATAATCTACCATTTTAATATATTTCAAACCAAAAAAAGTAATAAGCAGCAGTACAGTATATACTACAAAAACTGACCCGAAGCTCAATATTCAATTGAAACTTGAACTAAATTTTTACTTCAAAACCGCAAAGCAGCGAAAAAAAGAATTGAAAAAAGCATCAGTTTTTTGTAGACAATATTTCGCAGATGTTCCATGATGTTGTCAAAGTGCTCAAACTGAGACTGTGCTATGCATCTGTATCAGCGATAAAAAATGAGCCTAGAAAATTTGAACTACAAAACATACAGAAATGTAAGGCAAAAGTTTTATGTATGTTTTTTTTGTTTTTTTTTTTTAATTCTTTTAGTAAAGATAATTGTTAGGTCGATCGTCTAGTGTATGCGCTTGTGGTAGGTCGAGATCGATTGCTGAAGGTGCGTAAGATCGAGTAATCACCGATGGAGCGCCTGCTTGATAAGCGGAAGCTGAAACAAACAATTCACTTCTAGGCGCAAAAAAAACGTTAATTGCTTCTGATCAAAAACAGTTCCGATATACGCAGAGGCAATATAAGAAAAAAAGTTGGCTATGAATCCCGATGATCTGATGAAAAAAAATGCACACCAATTCACTCTTGAACTGATCTAAAATTCTTCGTTTTGCGGTCAACTCAAACTTAATTAGATCAGTCTTAATCTCCAAAAAC